TCCCCGGTCCCCACGCCGCCTGCCCCGCGCACGGTCCCCCGCGGAAGGGTTTGGGGTGCTGCCTGTGGGGTCTGCCTCGGCTTGGGGCAGGCTATATAATTTTTTTTCCTTCTTTTTGGTCTTTTGTGGTATGTGTGCACAATGGAATACTACTCAGCCATAAAAAAGAATGAAATTCTGCCATTTGAATTCTTTATTTGGTGACAATTTTTTGACACGTAGAAATTGTAAGCATTTGAGTTGCACAAGCTGATGTCCTGATCTACATTGTGAAATGATGACCACGTTCCAGCTGATGAATAGATCTGTCACCTCCACGTAGTTTGCGTTTTTGTGCCCTTTGACCAACATCCCCCCATCTCCCTTCGCCCCCATCCCCAGCAACCACCACCCTACTCTCTGCATCTATGAGTTTGACTATTTTAGTTTCCACATATCAGTGAGATTGTGCAGTGTTTCTCTTTCAGCGTCTGTCCTATTTCATGTAGCATAGTGTCCTCCAGGCTCATCCGTGTTGCCCCAGATGGCAGGACTTCCTTCTTTTTTAAGACTCAGTAATGTTGCCCGGTATGTGCATATCACATTTTGTCTATCCGTTCATCCACTGAACATCATTTAGGTTGTTTCCATATCTTGGATATTGACAATCATGCAGCAATGAACATGGAAGTGCAGATGTCTCTTCAAGACACTGATTTCATTTCCTTTGGATATATACAGGGTGGGCTATTCTTGGAGAGTTCTGCATCCACTTTTAAATATTACATTATTAACTTTTTTAATTCTAAAAAAAAATTTTATTGTGGCAAAATATGTGTAACATAAGATTTGCCATTTTTTTAAATAAATAAGCAAATTATTTATTATACAAATACTATAAAAATAGGGCTGATTGGGGGTGGAGGAAGGTTGAAATTTTAACCATTTTTAAATATACAATTCCTTGGAATTAATTATATTTGCAACGCTGTGTAACCATCACCTCTATCAATTTCCAAAATTTTTTTGCCATCCTAAATATAAACTCTGTACCTATTAAACGTTAACTTTCCATAATTCCTTCCCCCCCTACCTCCCAGATTCTGGTAACCTCTAATCTACTTCTGTCTCTGAATTGTTAAATTTATTTTTTCTTAGTTGACCCATGATAATTGCAGATATTTATAGAATACAATGTGATACTTGGGTACATTTATACGGTGTGCAGTGATAATATCAGGGTAATTAGCATATTCATCACCTCGATTATTTGTCATTTGTGTCAGGAACATCCAAATCCTCTCTTCTAGCTATTTTTAAATGCACAATATATTTTTAACTATAGTCACCCTACTGTGCAGTGGAACACTAGGATTTATTCCTTCCTAACTGTGACTTCGTACCCATTGCCCTCTTCTCCTTCTCAGCATCTGGTCACCATTATACTCTCTATGTCTATGAGACCCACTTTTTTAGATTCCACATATGAGTGAGATCATGCAGGGTTTGTTTTTCTGTGCCTGGCTTATTTCACTTAATATTAAATTGTAGTAAAATACATATAACATAAAATTTGCCATTTTAACCATTTTAAGTATACAGTTCAGTAGCATCAATTATATTAACAAAGTTGTGCAGCCGTCACCATTATCTGTTTCCAAAACTTTTTCATCACCCCAGGCTGAAGCTCTGTACCCACTGAGCAATGACTCTCACTTGTCTGGGTCAGTTTGCATCCTGTTGGTGTTTATTAAACACTTCTCTCTTCATATTTTTATTCAAGTGATGCTTATGGCACAGCTCTTCTGAGGCAGGCGGTGGGTTACCACAGTGACAAGACAAACACTGTCTCTGCCTTCATCCAAGGGAGAAAAGATACTAAGCAGGAAAATATGAGAGTACTTCAAAATGTTCATGGTAAAATGGAATTGAAAGATAATACGTATCTTTTAAGTCTATTACTCCATGAGCTGTTTGAAGTACCCTCATATATGTGGGTCTGATTGCCAGGAGAGAGACTTCAGCATCAGCTGAAAGTAGAAAGTAGTTAGAACTGGGGACACACAGACACGTCAAGAAACAGAGAACAATGATCTGAGCCTTAAAAAAAAAAAGTGCTTGAGGGTTGAGCATAAATTCAACACATATGTACTGAACTCCTATTATATGCAAAACATTATTCCAGCTGTGTCTCTCCCAGAGCGGGATCAGAGAGCTCAGAGCCAGGATCTGGGCTCAATTTGACACAACTTCTAGCTCATAGTGAACTTCAATGCCACGTATGGAACTAATCCACACATTGTTGTACTTTTCTACCTGTTCCTTCGTATCTTGTTCTCGATAGAAAAAACAAAAAATTGCTCTAGCCATGAATACTAGCTTGAAAATGTGTCAAGGACAAGTGAAGTTTTGACAGCAAAGATGTTTTAAATCCTTGTTACATACAAATATTTCAATCAAGATTGCATCAATATTGTTGACCTTTTGTAGAGAGAACATTTTCTGAACAAAACTCTATTTACCAGTTTCATTCTTTAATCGATATTCCATATGATGCTTTTAAACCATTTCTATCTTTTTTGTTTCATTTTCACTTTGCTAAAATTGTGTTTATTGTAATTGATGCTTTTTCTGTGTAAATCACACAATAAATAATTGAAAGATATAAAAAAAGAAAGATAATACAAATTTTTCCATGAACTTCTTGAAGACCCCTTGTAAATGTCTAAGTAAAATAGTTTTGAATGGGGTAAGGTAACTGGAGCATAAATAGAGCGTGATAAGGACAGCAGCTTTACCCAGGGTGGTTTTTGAGCTGCATCCCAAATAGCCATGAAAACTGTTCCAGGCAGAGAGGACAGCACGGGCAAAGGCCCTGAGGTGGGAATGAACTTCTCATGTTTTATGAACAGCGAGGAGGCTGGTGTGGCTGGATCAGAGAGAGAGAGCAAGAGAGAAAGAGGCAGAAGATGAGATTCAAGGCATCAGCAGGGGCTACACTGTGCAGGGTCTTGGAGGACTTTGATTTTTTAAAAAATGGTAATAAAATACAAATATATAAAATTTACCATCTTAACTATTTTTAAGTGTGCAGTTCAGTAGTGTTACATATCTCAACACTGTTGTGCAACCAATCTCTAGAACTATTTCACCTTGCAAAACTGAAACTCTGTCCCCATGAAACACTCACTCCCCATCCCCCTCCCCCTGCCCCCAGCACCTACCATTCTACTTTCTGTCTCTATCAATTTGATGACTCTAGGGACTTCCTGTATTTGTCCTTTTGTGACTGGCTTATTTCACCGAGTATAGTGTCCTCAAGGTTCACCCATATCATAGCGTGTGTCAGAATTTCCTTCCTTTTGGGGGCTGAATAATATTCCATTGTAAGGGTGGACCACATTTTGTTTATCCATTCATTAGGACTTTGATTTTTGCATGGAGTAGGCAATGTGCTAGGTTCTGGATATTCAATATAACAGTGGATTAGCCTGGTCCATTTCCTCCCTCATGGAGGCCACCATTTGGAAGGAATATGGTCAAATAATTTTTGATTGCATAGAGAGTGACCAGGGCTATACTAGGGGAAGGATGAGAGACTGTGGGATCCAGAGGGGGACCTTGACCCAGCCTGGAAAGGTTCTTAGACTAGGAGGAGGAGGAGGAGGAGAAGGAGTTGTCATCAAGGCTGAAACCCAAGGAGGAGCAGTAAATTACCCAGTTAAGGAGGGAAAGGGAAATGCTTCCAGACAGAAGCAACCAGGTGTACAGAATCTGAGGTGAGAGAGCATGGCCAGGTGGAGAAGCTGCAAATGGCTTGACAAGGCCAGAGAACAGGCTAAGAGGTGTGCAGTGACCACAGCTGGAGAGGGGCCAGGTTGCCGCCATCCTCCAAAGGTCCGCCTCTCCCTGCCTCTCCCTCCCCAGGTCTGTGAAGAATGGCGCCCAGACACGGGTGGACATCCTCTGCACCTACCGGCAGCCCCCAAGTGGCCCGGGTCTACCTGCCAAGCAGGTGTTCCACGAGCTGAGCTGGCAGACCCGCGGCATCACCCAGCTGGGCCCCTACTCTCTGGACAAAGACAGCCTCTACCTCAATGGTGAGGAGCCCTCGGCCGCAACTCCCAGTTCCCTCTCCTGCAGCCCAGGAGGGTGTCCTTTAACCTGTTCTCAAGGGCAGAGACTTGGGATGCAAATCCTGGCTCCACCATTGACACCCCCACACACACACAGCCACCCTGCAAGGCTAGTCTTTAATTAATCCCATTTTACAGATGAAGAAACTGAGGCTTAGACAGGTTAAGCCATTTGCCCAAGAGGGTGTAGATGGGGAGAGGTGGACCCAGAGCATGAGCTCCAATTGTCAGCATCCAACGTCGTAAGCCGTTCTACACATTTAACTCACAGAAGAGTTTTTCTGGAGGAGAACTGGGGAAAGAAAATACATCTGTCTCCCCCCTCTGCTTTCTTCACACCCTCGACAAGGAATTAGCTTCTCTATTGTGTGGGACCCTTACACCAGGGAGATCTAGGGGGCCTAAGCTTCAGCCACACTGGGCATTGGCATTAGCCTAAAGCCTGGGAAAAGACAGCACTTAAGAGGGTATCCCCTATAAGGGGTTCTGAGAGACAAAGCATACATCAAATACATCGTTTTTCCTCCCCTCCGTCCCCATACCACTTGTCATCATTTCCGCATGAGGTGGATGCTCCTTATCACTAGATGTAGGTACCGGGATGTTAGGAGACATCCTGGGCTTTCATTACTCCCATTTAGCAAAGAGAGAAACTGAGGCAGAGTGAGAGGAAGGGACCTGCCCATGCCTACAGTAAGTTCGTGGCCAGTCTGGGTCTCGATGTTCTGAGTTTATATCTGGTCCCTTTGATTTGGTCACTGCAGGGGCCTGTTTAAGATTTTCCCCCATTATATGCTCTATTTTGTTCATTCATTTAGCATTTACCAAGCAAGCCTGGCACCAGGGTCAGAGACACATGCACATCCTGTCCCAATGTAAATGGCAGTGGGGCAGAGGCCCTTTTATTCAGCACTGTATTCCCCAAATGTAAATGTAGCCTCGCACATAGTGAGCCCTCAATAAATATTCACTGGGTGGAGGGATAGATTGGAAGGTGGAAGGGTGGATGGTGGGGTGGATGGATGAATATGTAGGGAGAAAAATGGAAAGATGTGTGAACGTAAAGCTAACGAGAGCCTCTAGTTGAGGGCATGCTGGAGATGGACAGGGAAGAGTCGGTTCTGATTGAAATATAAGGAAATTATTTTTGCTGGAGATGACATTCGTCAGGTTGGGAGGTGCATAGATGCTCACTAGGTACACAGAGGGAAAGACGTCTAGGCG